TTCTCCAGACTGAACAGCCCTAACTCCCTCACTCTGTCTTCATAGGAGAGATGCTCCAGTCCTCTTATCAACTTCGTGGCCTCCTCTGGACTTGCTCCAACAGTTCCATGTCCTTCCTATGTTGAGGACACCAGAACTGTGTGCAGTATTCCAGGTGTGTCTCACACACTCCTTTTGATGCAGCCCAGGATTTGATGTCCTAAAGCTCTCAAAATGACTAACTCCTTTTGATGCAGCCCAGGATTTGAAGTCCTAAAGGTCTCAAAATGACTGCTTCAAGGTCTTCCTTAGGTTATACTGGAAACTTTTCATCAATGCTTTTCTACCAGGACTGCTCAGGGACACAAAGGGGCACAGGGACAATTGGGAAACCTTCCATCGTGCTGCCAGCCCAGACCCAACCTTCACATAAAGTAAACCTTCCATCGTGCTGCCAGCCCAGATCCAGCCTTCACATAAAGCCCTGGTACCTCACTGGGAGATGCACATGTGCATCCCACCACGTCCTGAGGTGGCTCTGGGCATATTCTACCTGCCCCTTGCTTGACCCAGCACATAGGACAGTCTGACCTGTGCACCCCTTGGTCCCTTTCAGCTGCAGGATGCAGTCCTGCCCAACCTGCCTCTGCCAGGGATTACTCAGAAGCTGCAAGACAGAGGACAAACAGATACAGGACAAACAAACTGTGCCTTTGTGCCTTCTGGAAGAGCAGAGCAGTGTCTCGTGGAGAAGGCAGGCAAGACTGATAAGCAGGTTTTGACTCAAAGCTGCCTGAATGAGCTGGAGGTGCAGCCAAATATCACTGATGCAGCAACAGTGAAGCCTCTGCTGTTTATTCTTCATGCAATCAGGGGTCTTGGAGTCAAACAGAGTGCAGAGGGCAAATGTGATCTCCTGAGAGCACAGAATTACTGACATCTGCCTCTCAGGGACTCTTCCAGCCTTCTCATCACTGGGTAAAGCCACAGAATGGAAGATAAAGCCAGGCTCTAAGCAGCACAGAGACCCAGGTCAGGCTCAGCACAGCAGCCCATAACCAACTTGGTGGTAGATGGACCTTCTCTGAAAGCCTGGAGTGCAAGCACCCTGCCCATGGCACAGGCTACAGGAGCACAGACAGACAGGAGAGGCAACAAGAATGTTCATCAGACACAGACCTCCATAACAAGAAGGACAGAACTTTCTTCTCCTACACTGTTGCTTTTATCTGCCCTTTTCAGAGGGCCAAGGCTGGAAACAAAGAAGGCAGAAAGCACAAGTTGCTGAAACAGGGCAACTGCCCAAAATGAAAAGGTGTGAGTCTGAGCCACATCCATAGAGACAGCAGGAAAGCTGAGTGGAAAAAACCCAACTACTTGACATATCAAGTGCTGAGGTGAGATACTGAGTTTGAGGAGAAAACTAAATGGAAAAAGGAGAAATGAAGAGATGCCCTGATGAAATATCTACAAATATCCTTCAGCTGCAGCTCCTCAGGGAAGGTTTAAATGCTGTGCCTGAAGGGAAGGACAGTGGAGACAGGGGAAGGGAAGGCATGGAGTGCTGCAGGGCCTGTGCCCCCTGGATGGGGCAGGACACCATGGGAATGGGCTCATAAAGGACTGGGGCAGTACTTACAGTCATTCCCAGCATGGATGTGCAGCTGACTGTTGTGTCTTAGAGTAGACAGTACATCCAAAAATCCCAAGTAATTCCTTATGCCAATAGCCCTTTCCTCCTCAATAAGCACATTTTCTGCACGTCATGGATATGGATCATGCGTGGTACTGCCAACAGAGCTTCTGACCAAACACCCAACCTGGGACAGCTCCAGTCCTTTGGCTTTTCCCATTATGCCTACATGAAACAGGCACACTGGACCACATTCACTCTTGGAATAATGACATTATCATCGACAACAAAACCTGTGATCGGTTTTGCTGAAGTCAGGCACAAGGTAGGAATGTTTGGGTTATCCTGTGCAGGGACACAGTAATGGGAAGAAATGGAAAGAGGGAAATTTAGATGAGGTATCAGGCAGTAGTTTTTGCTGTGAGGGTGGTGAGACACTGTCCCAGGTTGCCCAGGGAGGCTGTGGCTGCCCCAACCCTGGCAGTGTTCACAGCCAGGTTGGCTAAAGCCTTGAGCAACCTGCTCTGGTGGGAGGTGGCCCTGCCCAGGGCAGGGGTTGGGGCTGGGGGAGCTCTGAGGTCCATTCCATCCCCTTCACATACTATGACTTGATGATCCTTGTGCATCCCTTCCAGCTCAGGATACTCTGTGATTCTATGGTTTTATGATTCTGAAACAGCACAACCCATTCTTTCCCAAAGTCCTAGTGATTCCCAGATGCTTCTGCATTAATTATTTACTTATAAATTTTAGTTTACAAACAGCTTTACTAAACCAACCCAGAGCAAAACGAGGGGAGGGCTCTATGTGAGAGGGCTAAAGGTCAGGACAACTATTAGAGGATGGTTCATGCCTTTGTTGCAGGGTTTGATGTGCCATTATTCTTGCAATTACATTTCAAAGGTATTATTTTTCTAAACACAAATCCCCTTCCCTCAAACTCCGCAATATTTCTACCTGAAATTAAGTTAGTGCTTAACAAAAGCAAAACACTGTAATTTTAGTACTGTATCACTTCAAGTTGTTTTATTTTTATGCTCACAAGAGCAAGAAAACCTTTAGTTCCTATAAGCCTTTTGTCATGACAAACCACAAAGATAATTACTAGGAAGCTGCACTTGGTAAAACCTCCCAATCCAACTGTCACATGGAAGCCACACAAACAGTCCCAAAATAACAACTAAATAATTGATATTAGTGGAGCCCCAGAACACAATACCTTGAACAAATCCCCCCCAGCCAGCCCTGCCACTGGAACTCTCTCTGCTTGTGTGACCAGGATGATTCATGCTCTGAGAGCAAGGCAGGAGGCTACTTCATGTAATTATTATCCAAAGGCCATGCTGACTATCAAGAGCCTGTGCAGAGACCCATGAAGATGTTTTTAGTCAGAATGGGCTTTAATCACAGGGTGATATTAACTACCTGGTGCCTAAGCTCTTGAAGTTCCCTTGTTAGTAAAAATTGGGAGCTAAGAGCTTGCTTTGCCCTACCAAAGGCACAGCTTTACAGAGTAATTTTGGCCTTTCCCCAGAACCTTAACTGTATTCTCACTTTGAAAATGAAATTTTAAGACATCCATGCCTTTCATCTACCCACAATTTAGATGGCTATTCAACAGATAGAGCATTCTGTACCTTTCCATGGAAAACACAATGCTCACACCATCCCTGTGCCAGCCTGAACCCCCTGAACAACCACTTTAGGCCATGCCACAAAGAGGGTTTCAGAAAAAGAAGAAATAGCATATTTATCTGTTCTGCCATTTAATCCTCTTCAAGAGTTCCACATTGCAAAGATGCAGAAATGAGCAGATCAATGGCTAATGGCACAGGTGACACTGCTGAATGGGTGATGTGCATCCACAGACCCCAAAGCCAACCCAGCAGCAGCACAGCAGGTCAGCTTTGTGGAGAAGGACAACACAGGACCAACACAGGCTCAATGATCCTGCTCTTCCTTACCTCAGTTCCTGCACACCCACAGGTGGGAGCTTGTAAATTAAGTAGTAGAACAAAAAAAATCAATAGTTTGGCAAAAATAACAGCAGTGTTTACAGAAGGAAGGAAGGGAACGAGCACAGTGTGCTGTCAGTGATACAGGAGGTACATATTAGCATGACACAGGCTTTGGTAGAGGCAGAGATAGCAGCTTGGAACAAAGAACAAACCACAAGTGCTTTGCATCGATGAGAAGCCTCCTGAGATACTCAGATTAAATAGAAGCTCCTCTCCTCTGCTCTGCTTTGAGTCTCCACAGGACAGAGCTTATCTGGGAAATGAAATCCTGAAAGCAGCTCAGGTGAGGCACTGTGAGAGGGAGCAGGATAAAGGCTTGTGTGCAGACACTCAGGAAACCAGCCTGGATGTCTCAGCACCAAGTGACTAATCAGGACAAGCTGGCACAAAGGAGCTCTAACCTTTACTGCAGTGAACACTCCCCCAAACCATGTGCTGGCCCAAAGACAAAAATGTGATATTTCCATGCACTTAAATAGACAGACTGTGTGCAAATTATACATTTTATTTTTGAGAGCTGTGTTTCAAAGCTCTCTTTAAAGTAGGGCTTAAAGAACACAGTGACAGAGACAACGAAGGCTTGAGACAAAGGGCGACTCGATTCTGCCTCATAAAACTCTCCAAGTAAAAAGAGATTCCAAAGAAAAACACCCATAATAATTTATTTCTAAAGCTCACTGGGAAGTCAGATGGAATTCTAACAGTGTGTTCAGCTCACACCTTGTCCTTGTGGCTGCAAAAAGACACTCCTTCTGTAAGGTAAGGCTGTATGGGTGCCTGGGGGTTCAGGAGATTATAAAGCAGAGAACATTCTCCATTAGAGGATATAACTCCTCTTGCTACTCAAACTCTGAAGAACTTTGAGGGCCTTTGAAATATTGTGAGCAGTTTTCTAATATAAGAAACCATAGGAGAAAAAAATGTCCATAGTGTGGGTCAAGCAGAAAGAAACGTCATATACATTGCTCTGGTCACCTCCTGGTATTAAACCCAACTTATGAGAGGGCTGAAGAGGTCACAAACACTCCTGTTCCTTCTGCAGAAATCCAGCACAAATCCCCACAGCAGGACAACACACAGCAACAAAAGCAATTCCTCAGTGTCTCCTCCAAAATGCTGCTTGCAGAACAGAGCTGATTTTACAGGATGCCTGTTATCCTCAGGGATCTGTCACAGCCCAGTCACAGTGGAGCTCTTGGATCTGGCAGCAATGCAGCACAGAATCCCAGACTGGTTTGGGTTGGAATGGACCTTAAAGATCATCCAGTTCCACCCCTTGCCATGGGCAGGGATACCTTCCACTAACCCAGGTTGCTCCCAGCCCCATTCAACCTGGCCTGGAACACTTCCAGGGATGCTAAGTCACCTACCTTGCCCCTCCACCCCCGAGCACCAGCGCGATGGCGTTGCCAGTCAGGACACGAGCCAGGCGGGAGAAGTCGGAGTGACGGTCTGGAGGCTTCTGGAACACACGTTCATACATCTCTATCTGCAGAGGAGAGGCACAGCATGGTCACTCCAAAGGCAGAGTCAAACCAACAACATACCATTCCCAGGAGGACAGACAGCTGCTCTTCAAGGGAACAGAGGGGCAGTGAAGTCCCCACACAGTTCCAGTGATCAGATGCAGCTCTCAGTCTTCCATAGTAGGACAATATTTCCTTTGGAGCTGTATCTTTCTTGATAAGGATTTGAAGCTCCAAGGAAGCATCCTAAGGTGCCTCTGGCTTACCTTCAGAATGGTTTTGGCAAGCACAAGGATCCTCCCAATGAAAAGAACCCTATGGCACGTACACACCTTTCAATGGGACTTTGAGACAGTATTTACTGTCTTCAGGATATCCAAAAGCCAATTATGCATCCATAAAGAAAACATGGGCCCTTTATCCCTCTTTCCTATAGTAAATCAAGGCCAAATTCTGTGAAGAGAACATGATTTGTGAAGGGCTCAATGCACATCAGAACATCACGGAGTATCGTCACCCCAGATGATGCAATCCACAGATGACAGCTGAAGTGTCCCAGCAAGGCACTAACCACCAAAGCAGGAATCTCTTACCAGCTTGGGCAGGCTCCTTCTGGAAAAGACTCTGCGTGGGCAGTGGAGATGGAGATGAGCAGAACACCAGCTCCTCATGTTGAGCCATTCCACAGTTCGGGAAGGGAGAGGTCCATCCTCCTTATGGAGCAGGATGAGCTGCTTCTGGGCTCGCACTGCAGTGTTCTCCAGCATCCTCTCCAGCTACAGCACGTTATGGACACAAAGGAACTTGGGGTGAGTACTCACTGCTCCAAGGTCAGTGGAATAGACACTGTACTGTGAGATACACACACACCCCCCACCCCTATTCCCACATGAATCCTGACAGCTCTGCACACTAAGAACCCCCAAACAGGACTGACTTAGACAACAACACTTAGCTCTGAGCTTACACAGTGCACAAGTCTGAAATCAGACAAGGACTCAAACCTGAATGCTTAAAAATTGATGCTTTTGACCTGAAACAAGCCATTAAGGCACAGCACAGGCACACGCTGCTTGTGCACATGAGATGCTTCTCAAGTCAGACTCGAGCCTGCAAACATTCAGGGTGTTTCCTCCTCTCCCTTCCCTTCAGTCCAGTTTTATCCCCTTTGCAATTGATTTTGATTTTCTTTGCTGTTTAAGGCAACTGTTATCTGCAAACTCTGCCTGTGCTTCCTACCCTCCACATCCAGGCATGGAGAACCAGCACAAAGTGACACACACAAATGCTGCATGTGGGAACAGCTCAGGCTCTTTGGAGGTCAGACTCAGCACTTCATAATCCTAAAAAAACCCACTTGGGATCTCATTTTTAAATTTCTGGCAGAATTGATGTGGCTGCTCAAACAACTTGGGTAATAAAATATATAAAATAATAAAAATAGATAGTAAAGGAAAAAAATTACAGCTTACAATCTGTAATAAAATGTATTAAATTATTCATACACTGCAATTTAGATCTACTTTTTCCTTATGAATTTCATCCAGGCAGGAAAGAATTTCCCTATGTGGAGACTCTGCAAGGAGATGCTGGACAGAAATGCAAAGCTTCAAAGCAATTTACTCTTCATTTCCCATTGGCTAAAATGACTCTTTAGAGGAAAATAACTTTGTTGGAAATACTTCTACATAAAACTTGTCATTTCAGAGGATTCTCCTGCAATTCTTATTCTATTCCTAACACATTTCTGAGGACTATTTCATTGTTGATGCTTCATTGGGTATTAAACCTGGGAAGATTCACGAGTGTGAAGCAACCTGCTTTGACCTGCAGTGTTAGCACTCAAGGAGGAGAAGGAGCTGCCCACACCTCTCCCACTGTAGGCTCCTGGTCTCCCAGCCCCACGATGAGGATGCAGTCAGCCTGGCGGATGCAGCGCTGGGTCCAGGGGGTCAGGGTGCTGTCGGCCTGGTAGAGCACGATGCGGTGGATGTCCTCCTGCTGGCCCAGCCAGCTGGTCAGGCGGTACTCGTGGATACTGGGGACACACAGGGAGAACATAGGATTCAAGTGGGTTTATATCACAGCTCCTAGAGAGAAATCTCAGAATCAGAGAATCATCAAGGTTCAAAGAGACCTTTAAGATCATCAATCCAATCGTTAACCTGTCACTGCTGTAACCCTTAAACCATATCCTCCAGCACCAGACCCAGTCTAAGGACTTCCCTGCTCCCATCTGCAGGCTCATGCTTTCTCTTTCTCTAGCACTTCTACCATTAGATATGTACACTGAGGAAAGAGGATGCAGTGATTCCTCACTTCCCTAAGGCTCCCGTGTCATCTCTAACAATGAACACCCCATGCACACTTGGAGCAATTTAGCTTTTCCAATTTCACAAGTCAGAAAGTATGGAAAAAACCCACCCACATTAGACCCAAATGCTCTTCAAACATTATCTCCAACACTTGGATGAGAAAGCCCAAAGAACGAGAACACAGGACTTTATTCCCAAACTGTGTAATTATGAGACCAGTAGTGTCCCTCTGCACTTCCTGAGGGCAGTTACCTGTCGAGCGCAGCAGAACCCAATCGCTGCTTGATGTTGTCACTGGTGAGCAGCAGGGCAGGACCTGGAGGAACAAGAAGTTTCATCTGTGAACACTTGTCCTTCAGCTCCTGACAAACTCTGTGGAGAAACTGCCCAGAGCAGCTGTGGCTGCTCCATCCCTGGAAGTGTTCCAGGCCAGGTCGGATGGGGCTTGGAGCAACCTGGGCTAGTGGAAGGTGTCCCTGCCCATGGCAGGGGGTGGAATGAGATGAGATTTAAGGTCCTTCCAACCCAAACCATTCTGTGGTTCCATAAATTTGAAGATCATGATGGATCAGTGCCTGGATCAGGGCTGTTACAGAAGAAGGAGCTGGTACAAAGCCTTCAACAAAAATTTTCACACTTACGTATGATAACATCTTCCCATTCTCCATATTCCCAGAGCTCTGTTACTGCATCAGTCACCACCTGCAAACTCTGCTATCCCTTTCCTCAGTACCATGCAGGATCACAGAAACCCAGACTGGTTTGGTTTGGAAGGGACCTTAAAGCACATCTGCCATGGGCTGGGACACCTTCTACTAGACCAGGTGCTCCAAGCCCCAACCAACCTGGTTCTGGTGACAGCTCCCACTGCAGCTGCACGTTCACAAAAGCAACATTCAGAATATCACAGACCTTCACAGCCACAGAAAGCCCAGGAATTTGGTGTTAAAGTAAAAAGCTGTTTCACTGACCTTCTGAAACACAGAGCCCGTTCATCCTGCACTGTACCAACTCCCTTTAAAGTAAAAAGCTGTTTCACTGACCTCCTGAAACACAGAGCGGGTTCATCCTGCACTAAACCAACTCCCCAGGTGAATCCTAAAACTCTCTGTAGTAGTAGTAGTACTTATTCAACATGCCAACAGGAACCCATATCCAAAAATCATAGAATCATAGAATTGAAGGGTTGGAATGGAGCTTACAGATGACCTAGTCCCAACCCCCTGCCCTGGGCAGGGACACCTCCCACCAGAGCAGGTTGCTCAAGGCTTTAGCCAACCTGGCTGTGAACACTGCCAGGGTTGGGGCAGCCACAGCCTCCCTGGGCAACCTGGGACAGTGTCTCACCACCCTCACAGGGAAAAACTCTTTTCTCACATCCAAAAAAGACTCCAAAACCTGTAGGGCACAGTCAAACTCCACTTTAGAGATAGACACACACACACACCTGGCAACAACCTTAGACCTGAGAAGAGTTTTGGTGCACATAAAGCTTCTTGCAGGCACTTTAGTTTATTTTTCTTGTTAGTAATTCTATTTCAGCAGCAGCAACTTGTGCCATATGTGGTGGAGGTTGCAGTGACTGCAGCTAAACACAAAAAAAGCAAAGAAAACTTATGGGAATAACTGAATACTTAAAGAAAATGTTACCTGTATGTTATTGTGAAACTCACATTCATAAACAGGGCAGAACAGTCACTTTGTATTCATGTTTTCATTGTGTAATCCTTGTTTCATTAATAAAAGAACTGAAATTTACGTACTAAATAGCAAAACACTTCATTATTTGAGGGCTCTCAAGGGAAGGTTCTAATGTGCTCAGTAAAAATCAAGAAACTGTGAAGGAATGACACAGGAAAAGGTCACAATTTCACAGTTAGATATTCAAAAAGCAAAACCCACAAGCACAGCTCTGGAACTGGTCATCCTGACCTTCAGGGCCAACTCATTCCCCCTCCAGTGCTCCATTCCCCCTGCAAAGGCTTCACTCTAACACACTTCAGTGTTAGACTGGAAAAACCTCCCCAAGTCCAATTTCTCATTTTGCATTTCCAAACACCCAAATGATGTTTGCTCTGTGTTGCACTGACAATGAAGGAACAGCAAACAAAAACGGACAAAAATAGCCCATCAGCAGAGACCAAAAGATGATAAGCAAAAGCTGGTGAGAGAGCACAGAAAAGAGGCTGACTCGAGGGTAGAATTTAATTTCCTCACCCTCCAATAAATGTTCTGGCACTTGGTTCCTATGAAAGCAGCAAGTCCCAAGATGAAGGAATGAGCCCAGCAGCATTTCCAGAGCAGACCTGGTTTAACCTGCCCTTCCCTCCTGCCTCTGTGCTGCTCTCTGAACTGTCCATCTGCAGGGAACAGCCTCAATCCTTTTAGGGGGTGTGTGTGTGCTTGTTTATCACCTTATTTCTAACACTGGTAGATTCTTTGATCTGACTCCCCGTTCAGCCTCACAAACAGCTGGTCTAGCACAACTTTGGATAGCAAAATGGGTAAGAGAGGTCTCCCAGAGGAATACTAATGGCACTGCATGGGACAAAGTCTGCAAGGGAGAGAGGGCAGGTTAATTCTGAAGATATTCAGCAGCAGAGCTATCATCACTGTTCATTCATGTGTCAGAGTCTTAGCAAAGTAGAAATGATATGTAGCCAAATATTTTTGCAGGATAGGTGACTTACAAAGCATTCTGACAGCGATGGAAGTTTAGTAGGCAAAGACAAACAGCCAGGAATTCCCAATGAGCTGAAGAACACAATAAAAATGTCAAGTAAAGGAGACTAACAGGGAGGAGGGAAGAGCATGCTCCACCTCCGCCTGTTACCTCTCTGCAGCTGGGCACTGAGACCCACAAGCAGCAGAACAGGGAGTGCCCCACACTGGTGATGCACCAAGGTCCATGCCCTAAGGTGACACCACTAAATCCAAAGGGTATCATTAAACCCAGTGAACACATTTCATCCAAGGTGAGAGGCAGAGTTTGTAGGGCTGAGGTGAAATCTCTCTGTTAGTCAGGGTGGTGCAGCCACAGATGACTTGACACATCCTCACCAAGCACCATGAGAGCCTTGGAGAGGCCCATGGCTTACAAATCATGTCCATTCCCTTCACTTTTATATTTGGGAGAGCAGCAGTTCCCAGAATAGGACACAGGACAAAGATTCCCAGACCCTTACTCATCCCCAGCACAGGAACACTGTGATGCTTCAAACCAAACCAGCTCTGTTTTGTCTCAGAAATAACAACCATCTGCTCTACACTCCCAATTTCTAGCAAGCTCCCAATTAATCAGCCATTAAATAACCCTCCATTAATATGATCGAGAACACCAACATATGTGATCTCAGAAACAGAACGACCAAAAGTTATTGAAACTAAACTGCTGAGAGCAATGAAGGAATAAAAATCTATCATTTTAATTCCTGGAAGTGTTCTGGGCCAGGTTGGATGGGGCTTGGAGCAACCTGGGCTAGTTGCTCCATGGCAAGGTGGTCTTTAAGGTCCCTTCCAACCCAAACCATGACATGATTCTATGATGATTCAAGTCCACACCCTCTGAAGAGCTACACCAGCAGAGCCACACCAAGTCAATGTGTTAGAGCACCATCACAGTCATATACCTGTGTTACATCACAGTTGCACCAGCCAGTGATGCTCTCTCCACCTCACAGGCAACTCAGCTCTGCAGTTGGCATCCTGGACACGCC